CCAGGAAGTTACAGAAAGAGACATAGGTGGGTTATAGTTTAACAATATAGGCTGGTAACTTTCAGTGAAACAAGCCAGATGACAGTACATTAAGGCAATTAACAAAAGCTTGATCTTAGCAAACATTCCTTTCTACATCAATCTCTCAGTGTCTTTACATAACAATCAGGAACTAGTCTGTCTTTGAGCCAGCAACCTGCTGTGCCACAATTCTTTATCTTACACCAGAGACTTATAGCCTGAGGAAAACTTCCAGTCCTGCACAAGGTCAATATTTGAAACTGCAAGACTTTGGAAAACCAGGCCCTGTGAAGTACATATGCTTTTTAGCATATTCCACAATTGGGAGATCTGGCACCAACAGGGCATCTGAAGATATTAAAGATTTATCATTAAACTTACATACAGGGCTGGCTCATGGCTCACTTGGGGGAGCGTGGTGCTGACACCACCAAGTCAAGGGTTAAGATCCCCTTACCAGTCATCTTTAAAAAAAAAAACAAAAACCTTACATATAAAGGATCATTATTGTTACATTAAATTTTAAAAAGCTTATTTCTAGAGATGTGCTAAAGCATTTCTTTATAAATGACACGGAGTCTGAAATTTCCCTCCAAGCAACCCAGCCAGTGGGGAAGGGCCTGTGGCTATGCTCCCTATTGAAGCTGAACAGGTGACATGCAGGGTTTTTTCTTTTCCCCAAGCACACACCTTCATGGAGATAGAGTGGCTTTTAGTGTATTCACAGACCTGTGCAACCATCACCAGCCTTTTTTTTTTACACACTTGAAATGCTCCAGAAAAGTCTCCTTGCCCCAGGGCCAGGACAGGTATCCTCCTGCTTGAATGTGGTGCCCACAGGCCATCCACTGTCCCCTCCCCTGACTGCCCAGCCTCAGGCCAGCTCCAACCCAGACCTCTTGGGGGTCTGCAGGTCTGGAGGCAGGGTCTCCCCAGTCTTTTGGGGCTTGCTGCACAACTGGTCAGTGTCCAGCAGCCTAGGGATGACTTCAGGGGCACTTCCTGCAGCTGAGAGGGGAGACACTCACACCTGGGGTGCCCTGCAGCAGCAGGCGCTTGCTGGGAAGGGGTGCCCCTGCGGAGTCCAGGAACTCAACACTGGCCCAGACCCAACTCCAGCATCTCCACCCCCTAGCCTCGCCTCTTCTTCCCTCCAATGCACTGGTTTTGCACCCCACCCCGTATCTCCCAATGATTCCTCTGCCCACAGGCCACCCAAAGGTACACAGCTAGGGACAAAGCTCCTTTCCCCCCCCAAGTCCTTGGCCCTGTTCCCCATAAAACCTCCAGAGGGCACGGGGGTGGGTCCCACTACCCCTGGACAGTGAGTGGCCTTGGCGTGGCAGGTGAGTGGTGTGTAGTGAACAGATGGGTGCAGTTCACAGGTGTTTATTAGCATCTGCTGCAGAGCTGTGTCCCCCAGCCCTTCCTGGGTGGGAACAGGGCTGAGGGGGCCTGGGGAGGCAGATGGATGCAGCCAACCCTGTTTTCGAGGGACAGGCTGGTTTGGCAGCAGAGCCTGTTGGCCCTCTTTTGGCTGATGGGCTGCTTGGCAGTCTTGTGGGGTGACCATTGTCCATACAGGGAGGAGCCCCCTAGGACACACCTGCAGCCCACCGCCACTGAGCGTGGGCCCTGGTCCCCGGGAGCCGGGGCAGGAAGGACGCAGGTGGTGGGGAAATGGCGCAATTCTTGAAGACAGCAGCAGCCGGTTGGTGCTGAGAGGTTTTGGCAAAACCAACCATTGAAGCAACTGGGGCTGGATGTGGGGAGGGGCAGGGGGGACCTCAGTGACACACTGGCACCTGGGTCCTCGCCCTCCTGAGCACTCACTGGTCAACTGCCTGTTTGTTCATCTCATGGGGGAGCAGGGCATCCTGGGGGGTCATAGATGCCTCCAAGAACACTAAAGCTACAGTCCCTCCCACGAGATAAAAGCACACTCGCACTTGCACACGCACCCGCACTTGCACACACACTCACACAGGTTGGGGAGTGACTGCTAGACCACACCCCCACCCTGCACCCAATCCTCGAGGGAAGATACTGGAAGACTGCCGGCCCGAGCAGCAGCTCAGGGACAGGAGCAAACCCTGGGCAGCAGAAAGCACAGCCGCCCCCAGCCCCAGGGTCAACTGCGTGCACAGGGCAGAGCTGGCCCACGGGGTTGCCCAGGACCCTTCCCGAGTGAATCACTGGGGATGGGGAGGGGAGGCCACTGTAAACACGCTGCGGGAGAGCCTGGGAGTGGGAAGAGGCGGGAGTGGGGTGGGGAAGGTGGAGGTGGAGATGTGGCTACAGAGGGCTCAGGAGGGGATGAAGGTCACTGGAATGAGCTCTGGCCCAGGCAGGTCGGGAGGCTCAGCCAGCCCGGCTGGTGGGAAGGGCAGGAGCTGCTGGGACGACAGCAGATGCAGGCTCGGGTGCCGACCCTCCTGGACTCTTTGGAAGAAGCTGGCGCTGGTGGCTGGGCATGGCCCAGCCTGCTCCCATGGCCCCATCATGACAGCACTTTGATGCCAAAGTGTTTGCGGAGCTGTTCCAGAAACATGAAGGTGAGCACGGTGTGGGGGACCAGACGGATGCCAGCAGGAAAGAGGCCCTGGAAGGGGACAAGAGAGACAGGAGATGCAAAGAGCCCTGGAGGGACCCCCGCCTGCTGCCCCATCCCCCCACGCCCCCACCACACCTTGAAAAAGGCCAGTGGTCCAAGCTTTGCTGTCTCCATAGCACAGTGGAGAACACCCTGCAGAAAACGCAGAAGGAAGTAGTGAGAAAGCTGACTCTCACTTGGAAGGCAGAAATCAACCCCCACCCCAAGCACCAGCCGGGCTCAAGGCGTGGGTACGAGCCTGCGAGGCGAGGAGAGCAGCCTTGGAGGTCAACAGGCAACTAAAGAGCTGAGGGCACGGGGGCCACGGCACCCCTTCACAGGGAGGGTCCAAGCACCAGCCGGGCTCAAGGCGTGGGTACGAGCCTGCGAGGCGAGGAGAGCAGCCTTGGGGGTCAACAGGCAACTAAAGAGCTGAGGGCACGGGGGCCACGGCACCCCTTCACAGGGAGGGCGAAACCAGAACCCGTGGTTGGGAAGGCCGTGAGCAGAACCGTGAGCCTGTGACCGGGCAGGTCAGGAAGAAGAGCAAGAGACAGAGACATGGAAACACGGGAGTCAGGGGAAGCCCGAGGCAGAGGCTCGGCGCAGCGCCCCCTTACAGGGCCCTGAGCGCAGTGGACTGGCCGCCTCTGTCAACATGCCAAAGAAATCTGATGAAAATTAAAATTAGGCAAAAGACACTGAAAGGCACAGCCCCTTCCCCTGAGGCCAAGGGCTGTGCAGAGATGAGAGACAAAAAGGGAAGGATGAAGCAAATGAGGGGACAGCCCTGTCCCTAGGTCCCCAAGTGAGGAGACTCACCAGACCACAGAGCCCGGCAGTGCAGAGGCAGGAGCACTAACCCAGGCCTCAGCCACAGCCTGGGGACCAGGGCCTGAAGCCCCCAGCCCCACTCACCCGATACTCCCCCTTGGAGTTCATCAGGCGCGTCTTCAGCACGTCCAGGGGCTGGCACAGGAATGTGGCACACCCACCCTGGGGAGGGGGCTCGTCACCAACGGGCCTGCAGGCCCCCCTATCACCACATCCCCACAGGCCAACTCTGAAGAGCGCCTTGCTCTGACTCCCAGGAGGTGTCCCAAGGCTGCAGGACCTGGGGCCCCAGGGGGACACCAGAAACCGTCCTGGCCTGGGCACCAGGCTGATCCATGAGCTCCCCAGGCTCCAGCACCCCTTGTGTAGCCCCACCCAAGGCCACCTGTTTCCTGGAAACCTCGCCTCACCTAGGCGCCTCAGCCCCCCAGAATGGGTCAGGGACCCCTGGCCCGCTGGCACTTACTGCAATGAAGCTGGCAATGAAGTGCGTGAAGATGTTGTCAGACAGGAAGCCAGTGCTGAGGACCAGCTGCTTGGCCTGGTCATAGCAGGACAGCTGCAGAGGGCACAGGGACAGTCAGGGCTTCAGGATGGCCCCCAGCTCCAGGGAGAGGTGAGGCCCAGATTGGGGAGGAACCTGCCCAAGGTCACTGACAGGCCACAGTCTTGACCCACCTGTGCACACCTCCCCAGCCGCCACAAAGGGACAGCAGGTGGCCACCCAGGAGGGCTCTCAGTGTCTGCTCCTTGCTCTGCAATCCCTCTGAGGACAGAGGTCAGAGGCTGCAGACATTGCCCAAGAGCCTGACCCTTCACAGCCCTACCTGGCCCACGGTGACTAAGGCCCCGCGGCTGGATGCCATGGTCGCGCCAGAGAACAGTTTCTTCAGACCCTCTGCACGAGGAAGGGGTGAGGTCGGACACCCGGCCCAAATTCTTCGGGCCGCCCCCCACGGTCCTGCATAATGCCCCTCGCCCCACCAGCGTCCTCAGCCCCCCGGCCCCCACACAAAGCACCTGCTCTGCTCACCTTCACGAGCCACGCGGTACAGGCCATCCAGGGCATGGGCGTAGCTGCCGGTGACAGAGCAGCCATGTGAGGCTCTCCCCGACCACTAGCTCCCGCGGGAGGGTCCTCCCGGGCCAAGAAGAGCCAGACCCCCACCACAGGTCAGGAGACCTCACGGCGCTGAGGGTCCCTCTCCAAGGAAACACCTGGATGCCAGCCCCTTTGGTGGGCTGCCAGCCCATGGACATCCCCCTGTCCTGCTGGCCCCTTCCCCCCAGTTCACTCTGGTCCCATCTTCCCTGACAGTGCCCCTGTCGGGGGTCTTTATGTCATGTGCCCCTCCACGGCCTCAGTCTCCTCACTAACATCAGGCCCAAAACAGGCCCCGACTCATGACACCACTCTTGGGTGTCAGCAGGTTTGAGAGGAGATGGTTCTGGTCACCCCCAATCCAACAAGGCTCTTCCTGCAAGGAAAGAACCCAAAGGTCTGGGGGATCAAGCGACACCCCCCAGTGATGCCAGCACAGCCGTGCTCGGAGTTGCTCCTGAGCACCAGAAGCACCCCCATTTCATGAGACTCCATGGGTGATGCAGCCTATCGGGGTCCTGACTGGGTCACAGCGGAGCTGCTCAGGGGTCCCTCCTGGCCCTAGCCTCCTGCAAACCCAGCCGCCCCCCAGGGGCAGAGCCCGGCCCTGCTACTCACTTGCGCCGCTGATTCAGGGGCAGCTTCATGTCATTCTGCATCCTGAAGCAGAAGCACGTGCTCAGGAGAAGGTGTGGGGCACGACGGCTGGATCCACCCGCACCCTGCAGACCCCGCTGCGGCAGGATCGGCTGGGTCCCACCCCCTTTAAGCCAGGACTCCTGGGTCCGAGTGGCTTGTTCCAGGCTGAACATGGCCTTAGGGGATGGGTGTGGGCAGGGGGCACACCAACCTGACGTTGACCAAGTCTGCGGGAGTCCCCACGAAGCCTCCAGTTAAACCTGGGATGACACAAAGCCCAGAGTAAATGTGTGAGGACTTGTGCTGTCCCTGGCCTGCCCGCCTGCCTGCCCGCCTGCCTGCCCTGTGCCTCGCCCACTGCCACTCACCACTGATGGAGCCCAGCAACACCTTCTCATGGAAGGGGAGAGCCCCCTGGCTGCCCTTGCTCATGCGGTCCCTCACAGACTCATAGATGGCAAATCGAGTGAGGGAGTAGGTCATCTAGGGAGAAGGGTCCGGCTCAGAGGGACGGGCTCACCCCGCATCCCTCAGCCCTCCACACCCAGCCCTACTCGGCCCAGTCATCCCCCCGTGGACCATGGGGCCACTGAGGGGTTCTCCCAAGGCCACAGAGCCAGCAAGTGGCTGAGCCAGTTCACAAATCTAGGGCCCCACCCTCCTCTTTCCATCCCCGGGCCTGAGTTCCCCTATCTGTAAGCGGAGCTCTCCCCGTGGAAGGCAGGACCACGCTCCATGCCCACTCCGGGGTCACCAGCTCCCCGGGCCCTGAGGAACCTTCCTCGTAGAAAAGGAAGAGGAAGAAGGGCCGGCCCGTGGCTCACTCGGGAGAGTGCGGTGCTGACAACACCAAGGCCACGGGTTTGGATCCCATATAGGGATGGCTGGTTGGCTCACTCGGGAGACTGTGGTGCTGATGACACCAAGCCAGGGGTTAAGATCCCCTTACCGGTCAAAAAAAAAAAGAAAAGGAGGAAGAACCTTGGAGTCCCCCAGGGCACCCACAGTGGCCAAGTCCAGGTCTGCAGGACACGTCCAGAGCATGGGCTCTGGGACCAAGATCTGAGGGAGGTGAGGGGTGGGTGGCCCTGGGACACCGACTTATGGGGGACAGAAAGGAAGAGCTTCGGGAGGACAGGGCCGGGGCTGCAGCTGTACCTGTCTGCACAGCGAGGCGCTGAGGCCGTTGTAGAGCGCCAGGACGCCGTCGGAGCGCACCACCCGCAGCGCCATGCCCGTCATGCGCAGCTTGACCTCCTGCTGCGTCTGCAGGTGCACCTGCCGCACAGGGGTTGGAGGGGTCATGCCTGCTCAGGGCAGGGCCCTGCCGCACAACAGAGAGACCTGGAGGCCCAGGCTGGCAGAGACAGTGGTGGCGCTGAGGCTGCTGCCTGGAGCCCCCAGGCCAGCTCTGCCCTGAGACCTTTTCCAGAATGTATCGCTTTCAGACCCCCACAACAAGCCAGTGGGGTCAGTGCTACCAGTACCCCCATCTAGAGACAGAGAAGCTGGGGCGGGAGCAGTGAGGCCTCTAAAGGCTCTCTCCGGGGACTCCACACCCAGGCCTGGAAACTGCTCCACATTATTGTTTTACGACAGTGACACCACCAGCCAGGCCAGAGCCCAGGAATGTCCATGCATGGCACCTGTCCCTGGGGGTTCATCACTCCCCTTTTACAGATGAGGAAACTAAAACAGAGAGAGGTAAAGCATCCCCTGCGCCATCAGGATTTGGGCCCCAGCAGGCTGACTCTAAGGCCCAGTTTTTAACCACAACCACTCACTGAAGGTTTATGAGGACTCAGAGACAGTGAGGGGGCCTGAAGGAACACTGAGACTCAGAGGCGGCGGCAGAGAGGGCCTTGCAAGGTGGCAGAAATTCAGTGGGGCAGGGAATATTGGCCTTGGCCCAGGGAAAGCGCCCAGGAGCTGAGGGCGTGTGCGGGTGCATGGGGGGGGGGGTCAGCCCTGAAACTTCCCCAACCTAATGGCTGTCACCACTCACAGGCCTCCCCACCTGTCCTGGCCAGCTGAGGGCTCCAGGCAGAAGAAGGGTGGGCCAGGGACAGATGGAGAAGATCAGAGGCCACAGGCTCCCTGGCCCCAGCCCAGCACTGGCCCCAAGAAAGCAGGTCCACAGCTGATTGTGACCCCCCACATGCACAGGGAGCCACCCAAGGGATGGGGGCAGCAAAGATGCGTGGGGACAGAGAAGGGCTTCAAACCCAGCTCGGCAACAGGAGAGTTGTCCTCCCGAACTGTGAGCCGGGCAGGATGGAGGGGCTGGGACCGAGGACAGGGTGGCCACTCAGGCAGCAGCCCCTGTCCAGGCGATAAGTGCCTGAGGCCTGAGCCAGGATGTGGGGCAAAGTGTAGAGAGACCAAAGAGCTTTCGAACAGCTCTCAGACGGTCACCCCAGAGGCCCTGGTGAGCAGCCCTCAGGGGAAACCCAGGCCGCAGCCTCCCTGGTGGACACGGTCCACTGCACCCTAGCACGTGCTCCCAGGGCCAGAGGGCGGTCACGCTTCCGTGGGTGGTGCCTTCCCTGATCTCCTCCAGGCCTGTGTTCTGCAGCAAAAGAGAATGGGGGCGGGGGGGGACAGCGGGCCAAGAGCCAGTGGCCTTGGAGAGTGGACAACAGCGCGTGGCCCCAGAACACAGCCTATCAACACCCAGAGGACCAGTGAGAGAGGCTGGCAGGGCTGACCCTCCAGGACTCCTTGGTGGGGGTGGGGGCTGCAGGGGCATCCAAAAAAAAAGTAAGAAAGATCCAAGGAGTTCCCTTTTGCTGCTACCCCCACTTCTCTGGTGGCCAGAGCGGCCTCTAGGCACAGCAGTGCAGGACCAGCAAGGTTTCAGGTCCACGCTTGCACCCAACACACCCACCTGCTAACTGTGCCTTCGCTAGTGACTAATGTTTTCACTAATTAGAAAAGCCAATCCCCTCCCGCGAGGGACAGGCCTAGAGTCAGAGGAACAGTCCTGCACGTGGGATGTTCAGAAGGCCACAGGTGCCTTCCTGGGCACAGGCTGGTTTTGGGTGGTGGGTAGGGAGGGGAGCGGCCAGGCTGGCTCCACCTTGCCCACAGGCTGCCTGGTGACCACAGCCCCAGATCACAAAGCCTCAGGCCCTTTCTTCCCTGCTTTGTGGTGAGTCAGGGTTAGAAGCACCCCCCTTGGCTGGCCCTGGGGAACAAGAGCTCTGGCTTATTCTACCACATAAGCATTTTTTAAAAAGAAAAAGAGAAAGAGCAAAAAAACGCACGTCTGTTTCTTGTATTAAGGTCCATCCACTGTCGGGTGGGGACTAAGAGCAGGCAGAGTCGCCTCCATGTCACCTGGGGCTGGCTGGTCCTAACACCCCTCCCGAGGAAGCGGCCCAAAGCAGGGGCGCCTGGGTCACCCACTTGTCCAGGCCACGGCCCTCATTTCGCCTCCCAGTGTGTGCTGAGCGCCCAGTAGCGCGGACCGCTCGGTCCCTGCCCTGGGTGTGCTAGACCCGCAGGTCTCCAGGTGCCAGTACCTGCGCGCCCCACAGGACCCCCCGCCCCCACTTTAACCAGGCACAGCGACTGTTCTCGAATGTACGGGCTGCGGGGTGGGAACTGGCTCAGGGACGCCAAGTGACTCGCCCGAGGTCACACAGGCACTGAAGCGCAGTGCGGCGGGGAACGCCACCCGCACAAGGTCGCCGGGTGACCCCGGGCTGCGGGCCGCGGAAACCTCGCCCTCCACGCAGCCTCTCGGCGGACACGCCGAGGGCCGCCCGGGGGGGGCCCGGGCCCCCCC